AACAGATAACGAACAAGGATCTCCTAGAATTGTGTGGAAATTGGGTTGGGCGAACATCATGTGGCAGGGAAAGCCTGACAGTTTAAGGATCCCTTGGTCAGTACGGAAATGACGGAATCTTGGTGTTGAATTCGCTTTAAGAATTTAAGAACATCTTATAAAGTATATCGGGTTCTGCTTCTTTCTTAACTGCAAGTCTATACATAAGAAGCATGGGCGGACTTAATAAGAAAGGGTGGCTGCTACTCTGTTCTGCCATCTGCCATTCTTCAGATTTGAGTATTTTTAAGCCTCCAGTGAACTTGCAAATTATTTAAAACAACAGAGGCCATTTTAGTAAGTGCAAGGTCTCCCTGTCTCAGTGAGGCATGTGTTTTAACTTCAGCTTTGGAGCTTTGTGGAGTGTCAGTGTTTCACATTGTAAAAACGTTGCCTTTTGTTACAATGAGTAAGACTGGTTACTATTACTCGGTATGCCCCCTGGGTTGATGAAATTTAAAGGGAGGGTGCATTTTGGGTCATCGCGTTGAATTCAGAACCAAGAAAGTGTAGGTGCTAACAGGTGCATTTGTAGTTTGTGTTGGCTTACAGGACTCAGCCGAATCACGATCACCAACTTTCTGCCTGGGGAAAGCACCTGGTGGGAGCGGGGAGGACGACCTGCTGACAAGGGACCAGGAGGAAGTCCGGGCCTACATCAGCCCCTGAACGTATTAAGTGCGGGTTGAGGTGAAAAAACAGATATGTTGCATGCATGTTTCTTTTTCTTTTCTTTTTTTTTGTAAGGACAATGTTTACATCAGACAAGGTGCTTTTCAAAGTGCTGAAAGGCTCCTTTTTGACATTCGGTCATGGCATGTCAGCATCACCCAGTTTTTGTCACTTTCAAAAACCGACAATCCCAGAGTCACACCTGTTTTTGTGGCGACTGATGTGTGTGCACAGGTGTGAAAACCTTCCCCGCTTCCTCAGATTTGCCACTGTCCACTTCTAGATGAGAAATAGGGTTGTGAAATGTATTAACTGCAAATGACCGATGCAGTGGTCCAGTGCATTTCCCCAAAGTGTCAGACCAGAGAGGTCTGGTTATAAGGGGGACCCTTGTTGATCAGGGTCCAGGTGGGATTCTTTTAAAGATAATTGCGTAACGTTAAGCAGTCAGTCTTGTGTTTGATTTTCCGGTTATTAGGCAACAAGAAAGAGGCTATGTTGCAACGTCGGACTGGCTAGGAATAGCTTTTTTTTTCTGTCTTTGTTTGTGTAATCACGATGAAGTTGCATTTTCTAATGGTATGTGTCTGCAGAGGAAGCTACTTTACTGTTTGTGCAATAAATTTTCTTTGTCTGAAAAAAGCAGAAATCCATTTTTATTGTCTCACTTGTTGTGTTGAGTAAATGTGCAGACCCGAGTGCCACACACCAATCGAGTTGACGTTTGAGCATGCACTTCCATTGTAGACCCCACTTCCGTCCATTTTAAACATTGATTTCCAAAACATCGTCCTGGACAGCGTACAAGATTAAGAAGAATCCTTTCAAACAGAAATCATTCATCTCCAACCACTCAAACCGTAGATAAAACTCGGGTGTGTATATCAGCATAACGTGACAGGCACACAATTAAACAGAGCTTCAGTGACTCACGCACTGATGACTCACTAGAGGGAAACTACTCCCATCTACCCCCATCCCCTCCCATCCCCCGCCTGCGTGTGTGTGTGTGTGTGACAAGCTTTAACATAATTGCCTGCTGCTGTTGCTACCGCCTGCTTGGCTATAACAACACAGCCTATGGTCATGCACAGCACTGATGCTCCACCCTCACCAGCTCCAGTTTATTCATTACCGAGCCACGGCTGATTCAGTGGCTCATTAACAAAAACAGCTCTTCCATTTTAAAAAGTCAGCAGTGTGCTGGAAATTCCTAGGAAATATGATGGATGTGGAGTCTTTGTGTTTGCTCATCTTGTTAATAATTAAACCTGGTGACTTGACATGAATTGAACTTGTGGTGAATCATCCCTGAATCACACAGGGCAAAAACATTCATTGCACTGAACAAATGTTGATTTCAACCTCCGTCTTATCTGATTTTGGAGCATAGCAAAGCACTCTGCTGTCACCGTTTGCAAATGCCACATTTGTTGATCTCACTGATCCTGATCCCCTCTCCTTCCTGTCTCCAGGTCGGCCGTACCGTGGTAAACCCAGCGACATGTGGGCTCTTGGCGTGGTCCTGTTCACCATGCTGTATGGCCAGTTCCCCTTTTATGACAGCATACCTCAAGAGCTCTTCCGTAAGATCAAGGCTGCAGAGTACTCCATCCCAGAGTGAGTGCTTGTCCTGTCCACGTGACATGTGGTGGACATTCATTTAAAGTAATGGAATTGAAAATTAAAAATCACACAATTTTTACTGTTTATTCTCTATTAATTATTTCAGAACTCTGCAACGCACAATAAAATTGTAGACAGACAGACATTGTGCCAGATTTCCCCCAAAACTAAATGAATCATTGTTTTGACCAAATATGTTTGCTTACTTTCAATAGTGGCTTTGTGGACTTGTGACTTACAGTCAGATTTTGCAAATGAAACTGTCCCTTCCCGTTCTCCTCCACACCCTCGCAGGGACGGTCGTGTGTCTGAGAACACGGTGTGCCTGATCCGAAAGCTGCTGGTGTTGGACCCTCAGCAGAGGCTTACTGCAGGAGAGGTGCTGGAGTCACTCAGCGTCATCATTGCCTCATGGTAATTGCTCCCCCTTCTGGGTGTTTGAAAAATAACATACAGTGATTCCACATAGGTCATTTCTCACTGTTGTTAATCATCATCCTTGTTGGGTTTTCCTAATCACAGGCAGTCTGTTTCATCGCTGAGTGGCCCCCTACAGGTGGTGCCGGATATTGACGATCAGGTCAATCACCCAGAACATCTGCAAGAGGTAAATTATTGGCGAAATATGACATCACAGATCTAAATATGGAGCCATTTGGATAAAATATTGTTGCATAGTAACCAAAATGCAGCTACCTAAAACTGAGAATAAAACTGAGATGCATTTATGTGCAACAATAGAAATAGATTGCTATAATGTACCTTTTTCCTATGATTTTACCCCATGTTTATATTACTTTCCAATGCACTTAGAAAATATGTTTATTTCAGTCAGCTCAGATGTTGCAGCACATTGAACAGAATATATTTTCTTCCCTCAGGCCAAGGTGATAGAAGAGTCTTCACAGTACGAGTTTGAGAACTACATGCGCCAGCAGCTGCTGTTGGCTGAAGAGAAGAACACTATCCATGAGGCCAAGAGCTTTCTCACCAAACGCCAGTTTGGCAGTATCCCACCTGTAAGGCGTCTGGGCCACGATGCCCAGCCTGTCAGCCCGCTAGATGCTGCCATCCTGGCACAACGTTTCCTCCGGAAGTAGTCCCCAACCCACCCATCTCAGCCTCTCTGACCTCCCCAGGGAGTACAGAGTCCTGTGAAGTCCAGAGAGGACTGAGGAGGATCAGCCCAAAAACTAAACTTGCATTCAGGAGGCCCAGCCCGAACCAGGGCACAGATGGCCCCATTTGTAGGTGGGCTTTAGGCAACCTAGTTGGAGCCAGCGTGAGGAGGGCACCAGAACAAACTGCCAATTTAGAACTTCACTCCTCATGTCTGGACCCTCCAGTGAAACATGGTAAGCCCTGGAGGAAGATCTGAACCAAAGGTTCCTTCCCCTCAGGTCACCCACAGTCAGATCTCACTGTGCAACCAACCTGATGGCACAGTCACATATGGGGCTAACACAAGGCTATGCCTGGAGTGCTGAAGAGACAATTAACCCCATATTCCTCCTCCTCCTCCTTTGAGATCTCCCTACTGTAACACTTTCCCCTTCAACTCTGGATCCCCTGAGCAATACAGGACCAGAATCATGTAGCAACCCCTTCTCTTCCTAGTGGCTAATGGTATTGCCTCAAGTCAGATCAACTGATCATAGATGTCACTTCTCTATACCTCCATTCCACCCTCGTCCTCTCACTCCTTCCTCTCTACTGTTTTCCTGTATCGAAAATGATCCAGACTCGTCCTGTCTGTAACTCTGACTTCAAATCAATCTACCTCTCTGTCTCTTTTCTCTGTTGGTAAACCATGCTCACTGTTCTGAGACAAGGGATTGTAACAATGGAGTCTTGATGCCACCAGTGACATAAAGCATTAATGTTTTCTGTCAGTGATAATGCTTTGAAACCTTTTCAGGGGTTTCGAAAAATCTGAATAAGCTTTTTATCATATTTACCTTAATAAGTAGCATTTTATCCCTACCTTTAAATTGAAGATACTGAATATCAAAGTATGTGAACATGCATCCTTTGATATTTGCAGAATGCATTGTCTCCTGCTTTTTCTCATCCCTGTGGAAATCTATTTTTAGCATCTAGGCAGCTAGTGTGAGGTACCTGGAAGTCACAATGCCAAGAACTGAATGGGAAAAACTGTTGGATCCTCCCTGCCAAGGCATATTGATGGTAACGCTTCCTCAGTGCCATTAAAGTGAAGATCAGGCACTGTCATGTTTCTATTGCCAAAAATCATGTCTTAAAATTACTCTTAGCCAAGGAAACTGGTACCCACAGCCTCCATTCAGAATCAAATGGCTTCCAGGTATTCCAACTTCCCTGTTTCTCTTTACCAAGACAGATCATGGGACAGGTTTTTTTTCAGTATGAATGTGAACTGTCATTCTACGCTTTGATACGTCTGCAGGATCCATGAGTGTGTACGTGTGTGTTTCGGGCCAGGCAAAGTAAGCGTCTGCAGAGCTGTCGAGCTGTTAACCTCGGACAGTCACAGACCCTTTAAGCTATCCTCCAATCATTGTGTTCTATTATCTGGCCTGCCTCAGTGGCAGACACTGTGAAAACCAGAGCAGGCTTTGCTAAGACAGGGCTTGACTGAATGTTTTAGCGATTGCCATGAATGCTTGCTTAAGATTGGAAAAGATCACATATCTATTGCCATTCTCAAGCCCTCTCTCTAGCTCAACTTGTACATGCGTGTATTATCTCACCATGTCGGCTCTCGATACAGAGAGGCTAGGTGGTGGCTGGTAATCGATACTGTTGTATTTCATAGAGAAATGAAAAAACAGACTCATAGGTTTTAAGTTTAGTTGCTGGGTCTTCTTGGCTATTGATGCTTTCTTCTCTTTTATCAAAGGGTTTCTTCAAAACCATGGCAAAGCTACTAACCAGTGACTGTTAGGCATCTGTACACTGCAACTTGCCTTTGTGTATTGGTACCTGCTTTAGGCTATCTAGACTTCTTCCTATTTATATTCAGACTGATTGCATGAACATAGGCTCTGGAATATTTTAAAATTACTTTACATCTTCTTTTTCTTTGTAATTTCATGTTGATTTATTTATTCACTTGTGTAGCCCCACCCCCACCCCCAAACCACAGGGGCTTGTATCACAGACATTGATGGTTGTCTGTCAAATGTCCTTTTTTTTTTTTTTTTTTTTTTTTTTTTTTTTTTTTTAAATGAAAATATCTTCTAAGACTAAGCACAACTTCTGCCAGTGAAACAGGCCCCAAATCGCTCTCTCAGCTTTAAGAAGTGTTAACTCCAACTGTGGTTCTTTTTTTGATCTTTTTTTAGCCACGTTCATGAAAGGGTAGCATCTGTTTTTGTGTTTTCCATCTTGGATTCCTAAATAATTTTCTTGCCATTTTGCCACAAACTCTGTGGTCAACTTAAGCTACACTAATAACGAGACTGACTTTTGCATAGTTCTATTTTTTACAGAAAACAAAATGATACATTATCTTGATTTACGGGAGGGTTTTTTGTAGTGTTTATTTTTATTTTTTTTTATCATTAACCCCCAAAAATCCCCACACAAGGCTGCACTCTCTGGTCAGTATGTAAATATGTACCACCATGACTGCGCCAGTCATATTGTATGTAGTTTCACCCAGTGAGATACCAACTCTGTTTCAACATATGCCGATTGACGTGCATTATGGGCCACGTTGGCCATCAACCACCACATCCAGAGGCTAAAATAATATGTAAAGAGAGCTGTTGGCTTTCTCCCACCTCAATGTGAATTCCATGGGTATGCAGCAGTATTGTAGTAGTCTAGATTGATTCATCAGAAAAGGGTGTTTCATGAACACCGTAGCCATTACTAAATACTGACATTAAGTGATCGTCTGTGGAAAGTGTTTTAAGTCATCTTCCATGACGCCCCAACTACGGATTAGTAATTACAGGTTCAGTAGACCCTTGATGTAGATGTTATTTTCCCCCCCTTATCAAAGAAGTGTTTCACTTTCTAGCTAGTGGATTGTACCACATTTAATGTTTGTTTTACAGAGTTGTATTGACTTGGACTGAAAAGCATGGAAATAGTGTGAGGTTAAACATGTAAAACATGTGACTGTTGCATGATTTTAAACTCGCAAGGTGTGCCAACCGATAGAGAATTTGAAGATAATTTACTCCTTTGGGTCTTACAGGAAACTACTAAGCTAAGTTGATATACCCATTAATTGGATGAGTAGTAAAAATTTTATTTTTTTCAAAAGTTCAGTTTTTATGATTTTCACCCTGCTTCTAAAGTCTTCAGTATATAACCTATATATTGCTGACTGTTTCAACTGGAAACTTGGTGTAGGATATGAAACGTGGTGAAGTTTAAACCCAATGGGATAATGTGTTGTAAGCTGCTTGGTTGGACATGGGCATCTAGATCCAGAAAACTGCGTAATTGTACAGATGAAAAACACGTTTGTATAAAAAAACATATTTTTCTACTTCATCAGATCTCTACATGCATGTCAGCAATAAACTTTGATATGGAAACATTCAACTTTGTCACTTTTTGAAACTCCCTTTTCCTGCCAGTAGGTGGAGCACTTTCTTAAAAAATGAAACTAAGGTCTGCAGTAGGAGCAGTATATTTAAATGTTGGCACTTGTAGGACATTACTGAATGTTCTTCTTTGTTGGCTTCCACACATTTCTCTACCAGATGTGGACAATACAATCTACACAAAATGTTCAGCTGTACAGTGCCAGCCATCTGTATGTGCTTTCATATGATGTGGTCTCAGGCCTCTGACAGTGAGACCTGTATGAAGAATGAACAGAACATAGAATAATTGAGTCTCTGTGCATCCATGCCGCCTCAGTCTTGCGGTGAGTTGGGTTTTGGAATAGACCAAGGTAGACATGCTTAAACAGGAAGCCTCCTGCTGACTCTGACAGCACTACGGGACCCTGTGGGCTGCTCTGCCGACCCCCCCACCTCATCTCAGGTCTTTGAACGCACACACACCCTCTTGAGTAGAGCATTAGAAATCATGTCAGGCCTGCCAAAAAATACACACAGATACACATGGAAATTTCATCATATGCAGACCTGACAGACATATTGGATTCAATCTGTGATAATGGCATGTGCAAATGTTGCACCAACAGTCACTATGAACACTGCCTTTTTGGTCCTTTTTGGTCCTTTTTATACCCCCCTGATACACACCTACACGTATACTGTGACTCCACATTTTACCAGGAAAGATTTAAGAGCACAAAAGTGGCTCCCACTTAAGGGAAAGAAATCTTAAGCCCACAATCACGGTGGCAAATTAGGGGATCAGACCTGTGACCTACTCAGTATAGGTCCTTTTCAGTCAATAAGTAGTTACCGTTGGGGAAAATCTTGTGCTGACTCACCCTAAAGAAGAATAAAAGAGTTTTGAGTTACATTTCTCTCCTCTGGATCATTACACCCCTCTCCCAACAAGCCAGGCTGGGTGGGTGGAGAAGTCTCAAGGGTCAAAGTTGCACAGATGCTTTGTCCCCATAAACTACAACCAGCTGGCCTTGAGGAGGTCCATCCTGGATTCATATGTGTCTCAAACAAACAATTATTCATTAAAGACTACGTCAGACATCTGCGATGGTCTTGCTTAATTACTTTAGAGAGCATTACATATTCAGTTTCACTGGAAAAGAGCAGACTTTATCCAGCTGGACATGGATGACAAAGATAAACTGGGATCCACATCTCCAGATGTGTGTACGTAGAAGTATTGTCGTAGCTTTGTATGTGTGTACTTTACTGGTAGCAGTGTATTTAATTGTTAAAAATGTATTAGTAATAGTTGATTTAAGTGAACAGCTGCTTCTGCTTTGTAGTTATTACTATGTGTTTATGTCCATCAGAGCGTGTGAACGTGTCTCCAGCTGTGTCCAGCATGCCAAAGCTTTATGGCCTCTCATGACAAGACGCTCCAGCAAACTCAAAAAAACTAATTTATGCTGTGTTTGAGCAAGAAATGAAACATGTGACTATTTACAACTCTGAATAACATATATAATATTCTCCAGGCTGCCTGAGAATAGACTACTTGAAAATCAGATGATCTAAGCCCTGAAATGTTTAAACATCAGATTTCATGAAGTTGAGTGGTTAGTGAAGTTCCACATCTGGACATGTGCCTCTACTGTGTAATGATCATCAAGTGTCTAGCCTCTACTGTCTTCTTACTGCCTCAGTAAAGACAATAAGCAAAGACAAGAGGAATGCCTACTCTCAATGACAAAAAAAAAATATTTGTGAAGGCCCTTCGGGGTCACTATGAACATTAAACCTTGTAAGAGTAAAGTCCTGAATGTGCCAAACAAAGTAGTGATAATAGAGCTTCACTAAAGTGCAGTTAATATTTTATTACAATCCTAATAACCAAGAGTGTGTCCCCTTAAGAGCATGAATTTGCTCAGCACTTCTCCCAGTATTCCTGTTATATTGATTTATTATATCAATATTTCTTCTGTAAATGTTAAAATCTTATCCTAATGATGATGTTACAGTGAAGGTTTCAGGGGTCATCAACAACTTAGGTTTAGGGGTCTGTGGTTTATCCTGTAAGGACAATGAATATTAAGAATACATTTGGTATCAATCCTGTGGTTATCAAGATATCCTGCTCTGAAGTGTGATAGAATGATCAGTCACTAGATAATACCTAGTATATTATATCCCATTTAAAGAGGCAGAGCACTGAATAAGCATTTACGTTTGATTCCAATTGATGCCTTTTTTTAAGACACATAAAGGAGAAGAGAAGATGAGATTAGCAGCTTTATGATTTGCACTCAGACATGTTAAACTAAGTTCATTTTTGTTGGCAAGCTGTCATGGCCACAAAACAGGCTTCAAAACAGAATGTGCATACGGCCCCCATATGAGCAACAAGGAGGGAAAACATCTGTTAAAGGTCTTTCTTTACTTATTTTAAGTGCACTTTGTATTTAAGTGTTGTTAAAACAGATGATAAAATGGAAAATTTGAAAAGGATAGTTAACAATTGCGTGACCACAAAAACATATAAATTGTGTGAAGTGTACAGATATCCTTGTTTTATCCTTGTTTTTATTTACTTTGCAGTTCAGTTGACTACAGTCACATGCTGCCACGTTATCTTCACTAATATCGTGTGACTTTGAAATCAGTGCTCATGTTCCATCATTCCAGTGAAGGTCTCTTAACATTATACCTTCATTTAAGACAATATAACAAACGAGGCAACACAACCACTAGTCCTTTCCTTCCCACATTAAAGGGTGCGACCTAATTGAGTAACAGACAGTGACTTTACTCAGGTTGTAAAACTGGTGCCAGCAGAAGCAGAGACTTTGTTGTGGCACTGTACACATGGTGTGCCCTACAGCAGTGCGATCAGAGAACTGCAAAGGACACTAACCAAATACAGATAATAATTGTTTTCCTGTGATGAACTGATTATTTTTCTCAGCATAATGTGTCGAATGTTTGAGTGAGTACCATTTCATAGAAATCAATAATATTTTTAACTGCGAACGCAAACTTGACTTAATTAACTGACATTTTGGAAAAATTACTTACTTTCCAACAGTCAGACGAGGAGATCCGTACCATTGGCATGTCTGTGTGTTAAGTACAGAGCTGGGGCCAGACATGAGACCGATATCGTCCTTCCTACATAACTCTACAACATCAACAGTGTAGTATGTAATGTGGGCATGAATCTTACCAGAAGATATTATTACCAAAGCCCCATTCAGACCCAGGGCATAACCCCTCTTACTCATAATCATCTGAAACCCATCAGTGTGTAGCAGGAGATTGTTTACAGCTGCTCTGTGTCTCCTCATGACCTTGTCCTGTTTCTGTGAGAGAATGAAACACCTCTGTTTCTTGTCTTGTTTCTTTTAGGATGACATCTTGGGACATTCATGCACTGTGTCATCAGTCTTCAGTGTGTTTGCATTTGATGTGATGCAGAAGGGTTGCGATGATCCGTCCAGTCCTTGAATATTTCACCTACACATGGCTTTATTTGGTGTTGAAAAATAGCGTGCTCTTGCATAAATCTCAAGTGGAAGACGATGAGAAGATCCAGGCCTGCTGAAGGTGGAGTATTAGGGAGAATGAAATGGAGGTTTGCT